TAGGTAAATTCACCTCCGTGTTTGTGTCGTCCTCTGCCTCCATCTCACTGCTGACGTCTTCTTCCGTTTTGCATGTTAGCTCAATGCCAGCTCGTCGCTCTGGCAGGGGGGGGCGGTGTTGGGGGTGGGCGGGGGTTCCTCTGTTTGTGCACATTGCGTCGAATGCGATTCCAGAGTCATCGATGATGAATCAGAGGGAGTACGTATGAGAGGCGAGCCATCGACGTGTGTTGCCGGCTATGTTTATTCATGCGCTGGGTATGTTAGGTATGAGCGTGGCCCGACACGTGTGGGCGGGCATGAGCCAGCGAGCACGCTATGACATGCAGAGGGAGTACAACTCAAGCAGACTTGTTGATTGAAGCGTTCGGGAATTCATCAACGCAGATATTTTGTGCGGTTCATGTATGGGATCATATGTGGGGATATAATCCAGATTGGCGTCGAGGACATACGTGCATGATTAGTTGAGATAGTGATGACAAAATGGGACGATATGGTGTGATGGTTGAAGGTGCCTTATAATTTTATGATTTGGTTGGGTTATAGGTGAGCCTCCTCATTTAAAAAAAAAAAAAGTATTTGCATATAATAGGGGCATTAATAGCACTATTCAATCGTAGTTTCTTGAGCCATATTCTATTAAATATCGCTGTTATCTGTTTATTTCGTTGCTTCACATGATTGTATTTTGTTCGTTCGCCACAAAAACATTTTTTTTCCTTGCACAAAATTGAATTCTTTATTTTATACACCGCTCTTTTTTTTTTCTGGTCAAATGAATTGCATGTAAATTAATCCGGTAAGAAGATATTGATTGAATCCTTGATCAATTTAAAGTTTTTGTGTTTCATGAACTTAAAAATGACAGAAATTCCTCCTTTTTTTGGGATAGACTGTACAGAATTCCATACAAGCAAGCATGATCTCATGAAGTAACTTCTTACGTTAACGTAAACAATGGCTTTCAAAACTAGTTCTCTCCCAATTTGTTGTGCACTGTATATGGAATACGTGGAGGTGACCAAACATTGATACGGTTTCACAAAATTCACAGTCATAATGACCCGCTCAGGGAAACCGTAACTGCAATGTGGCCAACTACAAAAATGAGTTTGACACCCCTGCCGTAAATCATCATATGCAACATTTTGCGTTTGCCAGAAAATCATGGCCATGGATGACTGGTAACACGCTGTGCTTGCTTGCTGCCAAGCTCAAGCTAGCAGTGGGGGCCTGGGCATCTTTGTTGCATTTCATCAAGTGATGCCCCCTACCCCTAAATAAATCCATTTTAAAAAATACACAAAAAAAGGAAGAAAAAACTTTGCATGGACTGCTTAAATTAGAATGAAAAAAAGTTTCTTATGAAACTTGCAGCAAGGAGCAGGCTCACCACATCATTCTTCACTCAGACATTCTTCCAAACAAACGTTACTAATTGTTTCCTTTTTTTCTCCTGTAAGTTTTTACTTATGGCGCAAATTTGTAAGGCCGCGCACTGAAGCTTTTAGCCACCTGCTTGATCATTTCCGTCCTCGTGGAAAAAAGTTAAAGCCAGAGGGAGTAGGTGGGTGTGGGCTGTTATGTAATGATTAGCAATGTGCTGCCCACAAAGGGGCATGAGCAGTCACGGTCATGCTAGCAAACTTACACAATAGCACAATGCCAATCTCATATCCGAATGTGTATCCGGAGCTGTCGTGATGCCCCCCCAGGCAAGTAGACTGCCTCGCTTTAACCGCAATCAACAATCTTATTATGGGATGGATGACGTGAATATGTCGTCATCCATCCCATAGTGGCTGCACAGAACGTAGCGACGTGACGTCCGATAGCAACGGTGGAACTTCCAAAGTCGAATACAGTCCGTGGCACCTTAAGGTTGGCTCATCTTTATTGGTGTGTAGAACGCACAAGGGAATTTGTCTCCGGCGGGATGTAAATATCAGTTCATTGTGTTGCAGCCGTACCTTCGCCGCGTTGCACCTTTGCACGCGATTCGAAGCGTGAATAAGCATCTCCCTTGTCTATTTATCGTATTTAATTTATTTTGTTTGGTTGTTCAATTTTTATTTTCACAAATACGAACGGGGGGCTAACCTGGGTCAATCGTATTTCGTGCCAAATCGGGGGGGGGGGGATGTGTATTGGCATGACAATAAAAATTCCTTCAAAACTCAACTTCAATATCATTTGAAAGAACAACCAGGATATAAATTAGAAAAAAAAAGTCAAATAGAAAGATACTCATATCATAGCTGTTAAAATAAATAAATAAATAAAAAGTTGGCCATGACAATGGAGTTGCAGAGAATTCTGGAAGAAAAGTTTCAGGAGTGCGTGACGAAGTAGTTCAAAAAAAAAATGCCTTTGACTCTTGGAGGATTACTTCAAAATGGGAAAACTTGGATTCAAAATTGACATCTTTTATTCCACCAGTCGGGGAAATTTTCTTTCACGCCTCAAACTTCCTTGACACCGATTACTAGTTTGCTCTTCCCCGGGGCTTTGGCTCCATCTTGTGGCAACTGACAGCATTACAGAAATTGCTGAAGATAATGTAAGTTCCGCGGGGGGCCCGGGGAGGGGGGGCACAAATAGGTTAACTCACAAATGGCGAAGAGGAAATAGAAGGGAGTCGATTGTACATCTTTTGGAACTCATTCTATTGTGTGTGTGTACGTACCAAACCCGAGAAGGTCGAGTATATCGTGCGGCGGGGGGGGGTTTAAAACCTCGACACGAGTCAGAACGGAGGCCGCGTTAACGCACAGAGCGACTGACAAGACGCTCGTCAGCCGATGGCTGTTCAACAACGGGCAGCGATGGAAACAGGACGAAGCGTGAGCTGACAGTCAGGAGCCATCTTTCACCCCCCCCCCCTTATTTTTCCCTCATCATTTAAAACCCTCAAGACAGGAAGCAGCCGCCACAGGACGGTCCGCGTACATGGACAGCGCGCGGCTGTCGACTTTAGCCCAGGAAGGAGGGGCAGCGGAGGGGCAGCGGAGGCTGGCGCGGCGCTGGAGAAAGTCAGGCGACGGCTTTTATCAAACGAGAGTGGCAGTTGCTGTGTCACGTTCTGGGAAGATCGTGGATTAGCCCCCTTCGTGATTACAGTCCGGGCGTTAGTTAAGGTTGACGCTCGGATTTTAAACATCTCATCCCTGAGCGCGTCGTCTATTTTAAAGCCCCGCGGCAACTCAAAAAGGAGCAGTTGAAGAAACGCCCAGGAAATGTGGTTGCAGTTTGCAAGCGGGGCGGCTTTTAAAAGTATTTCGGGACTATAGCATGCGCGCCGTATCTCATGCATAATGCAGTTCTCCGGGTCATCACGATTGGCGATGACTCCATTCTGGCATGTCAAATTTACACAGCTGGGTGGTTTCTGCATGCAAGACACACAAGCGGGAATATGCGATGTGGGCTTGCCGTCGTATGCTTGGTGTGTAAGAACATGCGGCCGAGTGAGCTTTGAGTGCTCCTGCTGCTTACGTGGAGGCTGTGCGAAAGCAACGGCATGTAAGATGGCTGTTTGTTTGGGGTTTTTTTTTTTCCCTTCCCTCATTTAACTGCAACGTTTGTGGTGGTTTGTAAGTCAAAAAGCGCAGCACCAGAATAAGATACTTTCACCCAATGTTGGGTTATTTATTTTGACCCAACAGATTGGGTTTGGGCAGGCTGAGGAGTTGGTGGTCATTTTGTTGGGTAATGAAGTCGAAGCATACAGGGGGAAAGTTGCTTGTTCCTCTTCGGACATGTTGATAATTCAATTTCTAGACATCTTAACCACAGTTATGTTGATAAACTGATCGCAGATTGAATGGTAGCTTTTACTAATCAGTGTGGGTACTTTATTCTCCCTTGTGGGATCAACATCTTGACCCAACGCGTTGGGTGAACTCCTCAACCCATGTGCTGGGTGTAAAAACGCAGCGTTGGCTCGGTGCCTTTTGGACCCGGCGCTTGATTCGCTATTTCACCAAATTTGGGTTACTTTTGCCCCAGCGGGGTTTTAAGAGGGTCTAAAATTAGGCGAGTTGTATCTGTCACCTTTGCATTTGATCTCATTGGACTCTACTAGAGTCTAACTGCACATACTGAATTCTAAAACGGAATGACAAATTTACCCTGACCAAGTATTGTTTTGTGACGTCGACCCGAACGTAAGGTAAGCATGTAATCCAAGCAAAAGTCAAGTACGCTCCACCCGGATCAATAAAGTAACCCGCGTGCATGAGTGAGCTGATATCCGGGTGAATCCTGCCGGCCAAACTGCTTGCCGCATATCCCGAGGAAAATTCCGGCGCGTCTCATTGGTGTCATACGGAGCAATTGTCTTTTTTTTTTTTTTTTGTGTGCGTGCGGGTGTTGTTTTTTTTTTTTTTCCCCATTCAGTGCGCAACCAGTTTTGACGGAAGCAGTCATTCCATAAATATGGTGATCTGAACACTGTTGGCAAGTGGACCGTTTGTTAGACGTCTGCCACCCCCGTGCACACGTTGTCATGGAAACACTCCAGCTCTTTTGGGGGGTTCTCTCTCACTCTCTTTTCACACAATGCAGTATTACGATGCGAAAAACCTACACAGCGGAATACCACGGCTCAACTGTGACCGTCATGCCTTACGTAACGCTGAGAAGGAGCGGGTCAACTTCAGTTAACAGAGCACGCTATACAGACACAACTATGTCTAAACCTGTCAGAAATGTGCCTTTATGGAAACAAAAAAAATGTCCACACACACCGCAAGGTCAAAGATCAAACATTAGACGACACGATGCAAACATTTTAGTGGAATACAAATTTATGACGACGGGGTTGAGTGCATGCATGTTAATTCAATGCCAGCCATTTTCAGCTCCTTCTTTACCCTACCATGTGGCTAAAAAAAAAAAAAAAAAAAAATCATAAAAAAGCACCTGCGATTAAATTCCTGAATTCTTGGAAAAAAAAAAAAATATCCTTGCCATCGAATAAACTCAATTCATTGAAGACTAAATTGTCCGTAGGTGCGAATGTGAATGGTTGTTTGTCGATATGCGCCTTCCGGGTTTGTGCTGCCTTTCACCCAAACGTTCTATAGTTTGAAAATGTCAGTACACGCAATCTCTTTCAGAACGTGTTAATGACGAAAATTTGATGACGGGGATATGAAAATAGTGTAAATCTCATATAAAGGGAACCTGCGGGAAATAAGTGTGAGATTTAGAAGAAATGGCCCATCGCTGGCATATTACTCGTCAGGGCGAGCTCACTGTGAACACTTAACAGCCGGAGCATTAGAATGCATTAAGTGCTGCAATCAAGGACGTCTGTGTCTTGTCTTGAACAAAGCAATATCCATGGAAACGGACGTGCCAGTTGAAAAAGTCATCGCGGGGCGTGCTTATGTCATCTGAGAAAAGCGCAGAATGACAATGGGCAAATACGTCATTTCACTTTGGAGACGTCACGCGCACGCCCCCACATTCATTCATCTTCACTCACACGCTTGAGAATTCGAGCAACCGGTTTAAATCGAACTGTATATACTCAAATACATGGACTACTTAGTTGAGAGGTCACTAAAGTACATTTTAGAAGAACTGTTTTGGGCCTTGACCTGATATCACAGACCTGCATTGCTACCATTCTTATAATCACACGCTTCCCAGGATATCCCTTACGAGTGAGTAGTGAGCAATGAAGTCGTCTGTCGATTGGATTTTTTGTTTTTTAAAACCACTGACGTCACCTGGGAGCATCGAGCCCAGCGCCGCAGTCGGTCCTGAGATGAATGCACAATATTTAAATGGAACCGAGCCGGTTCTCTCACTCCACCCTGTGGGCTCTTCATGTCAACACAGTCTTGCTCTAGAGACTCACTGTACTGTAACTCAAATGGAATTCCTATATGGATGGATTGGGGTTTTTTCTTTTTTGGGAAATATCTGAAACAACAAAAAATTACCAAGCGGCATCCATGAGAGCAAATAGGCTGTTAGAGGAATTATTCAATGTTGGCTCTGTTGAGTCACTGCAATACTTTTGCAGGCCTTTCAATAACATCACAGCCTTGCATTGACCTGAGACGTCACTGCAGTGAGGGCAAACATGAAAGTAGCTTAATGCATCATCACGGTGTGTGTGTGTATGTGTGTGTGTGTGTGTGCGCTTCTGTGTTCCGGACACTTTTGGACTCATTTATTAAAGGCGAGGTGGAAGCCACCTTGAGCGAGCACGCTAATGAATGGCAGCGGGGTTCACCTCAATCACTAAAGTAGACAAGCCACATGAAGGCACTTTTGTCTTTCAGCACCACGGAGAGCTCCGATACTGCTGGCTTTTCTGAGCCGACAGGGGGCGCAGTCGTCCCATTCCACACGGCCACTGAAATATACCATCCAACTTAAAGCGGCGTCATTAAAAAATAAAAAAAGAAAGAAAGAAAGAAAGAAATGACAGAAATAACTAACACCAGCTTGCTGCGCGTGTTGTTTGTGGTTAACCGGCTTTCAATATCCTCTTCGTTTGATTCAAGTTGCGCGTAAGCTTTCAATAAATTATTAGAAAGCGCGAGCGAGACAGCGGAAGAGGGAGAAGGGGGGGGGAAAAAAAAGAGGGGGTGGGGTGCATATCATTTAATGCACCCCCTGTCAAACCACAGTCGGTCCAGTATAGAACGCCTTAAAGGTGACCAACATGCAAAAAGTTGCTTTCAAAGGCGATTAGTAATTCGAAGCCGGGTTTGTTTCCATTTCCGACGGTGATTTAATAGCCAGAAGGGAGCATCCCACTCCCCAGCCCACTTCCGCGGCTCTCCGGCGATCGCGTCGCGGCGACGGTGGCGGTTGGCGGCGGACAGAATAGCGGTGTGGATGTGAGGCTTCGGACTGATGTCTCTGCCTAATATCAGGAATCTTAAGTGTCTCTCGCCCGTCATGTGCCAGTGTAAGGTCATCTGCAGCAACCGGACCCTGTCGCTCATGTTCGGGTGTAAGGTAAGCCGAGACCCGGGGGGTGCATGCGGTGCCGGACGCTGGTTGCACCAACAACGCCCGCCGCCAGGTCGTTTTTTTCCCTACAATGCGGCCGTTTTAGGGAACGCGATTGGCATTTCATTTTTCTGGATAGGTTGCGAGCGAATGTACACGGCCGACCGGGATTGCGTCTTGCACGTAGCAGTTGCGGCTTCACGAGTTTCCTGCGATGAATGAAATCACTCTCTCCACAGTAGGCCAAGCGGAGCTATTCATGCTGACTGGTCCACATTTAGGTTTGCATCATAGGCAGAGGGGAACTGCACTGCATGATTTTTTTGACCTTGGGAAAATGCACTTTGTCAAGCCCGGAGCCGATTCAATATCCTTCCTCACCAGAGAGAGCCAATGAGAACAGTGAAAAAAAAAAAAGGGTGTGTTGAATTTACTCCGTTTGATTTCGTCACGTGGTTGCACAAATTCAAATTGGCCGGATCCAGATCTATTTTTAAGGAGATGTATAGTCTACTTTCAAAAAATAGATCCATAAATCCAAATGATTTTATTTTAGATGTATAGTCCACTTTAATACAAATCATTTGATTTTGTGCAACCACTTGGCAAAGCAAACTTTAGTAAATTGAGCAAAAAATAATTTTTTTCAATTAATTTTTATGCCTCCTTTGAATCACATGACCGGAACACTGCACGTTGATTTTTTTTCCCAAAAAATGGAGGAATCCATTCAAGCAGTTGAGCTCCATATACAGTAAAACATTTGAACTAGACTCCACAAATACTGTATGGCGAACTTGCTGCGGACCAAATGTGCGCACCCCCCCCCAACTACATTTTCTATTTATTTAATTCAATACAAACAGGTTTGCATTTATTTGTACACTAAAGCGGGTGTGCGTTTTATGAGTAAATCCTGAGAGAATTTGCTTTTCACAGATCCTGATTTATTGCCAAGATACTGCATGATGACCGTTCTTCAATCTTGGGCAAAATTCACAACTTGTTAGACACAAATCCACCAACATATGCGCTGGTGTATCGAGTAATTATCCTGCACATTCACCACATACATTCTAATTACATTTTCAGCCTCTTAAAATGGAATATGAACCTTTTGCAAAGGCGTGCCCGAGTGTGCAGCTCAATATATGGAATTACTATTTACCGCGCGGCTAATCGGCATTTTAAGCATAGAGTGCTCCCCCCCCCCACTCCACCCGTTCTTGCTTCTTACCTCCTTGCGAGATGCCACGCCTCCCTTCTGGCAACCATTAACCTCCCGCAGGCTGAAGTCGCCTCGACAGTCCTCATTACCGACGCGCGACATCAAAATCTCAAACAAACATTTGATTTGTTGTATGAGCAACATGGCAATTAACGCCTCCGGCAGCAATTAAATTACGGTCGCCTTGAACAGTTGCGGTGCTGAGATTGTATACAGCAATGGACGAAAAAAATATATATGTATACAGATAGATTTTGGGGGGGTTCCCAGAATGCTTTGCATGGTGCAATACATTTCATGAATGAAGTTATAAGGAGATATCTCCATGTCATGTGTGTGTTTGTGTTACCAGTAGTTGAACGTGTGTCATATTGAACGCATCTACGATTGATTTATGTTGCTTTGCTCGATGTTTGGCGGATTTTAATCGGCGGGCCAATTAATTGGCGGGGCCCCGGTTAACGTATCTTTGTCACGGTTTATATTCACCTTCTCGTCTTGCCTCTTTTCTCTTCAACACACCTCGTCGCAACCTTGTCCCGAACTGACATTGTGAGTGACATCACGCATGACGGCGCGGTTCAGATTCTGAGAAAACGTTTGTGGAATTGCGACTCATCCGACGTCAGGGGCGTTTGTATTTCGAGGTTCCACTCTACTCGTTGCGCATCCAGCAGCCCGAGTTGCCTTTCTTACAGATTACGTCCGGCCTGTTGTAGTCCCCTGGCGGCTTGTTATCTTATTTGACCGAGTCTTTTGGGACCTCGCGTATCAACAATCTATTGCACGGCTACCGTGTACCGTTCACAGCTTTTCTCTTCTTCGATATGTTTGCTATGGCTTCTGTGCACGCCAACCCCGAGAAGGATCATCTTTTCCAAGGTGAGCAAAAGCTTGGTTACATAACTGTTGTTGGATGGAGCCTCGCCGTCATCTTATATGCAGGATCTTAATTAAAAGGGTCTTTCATGTGTCTGGAAGCATTCAGGAGTGCTTTCACGGGCTCTCTTCTGCTGAATGCTCATTGATGGCCGCACAAGATCCAAATGAAGACGGACCGACCTGCTTTAAAGATGTCATACCGGGTAGCGAGAAGACGGCGATTGAATGCGTTTCGCGATTTTAGGCCTCAGAGCGGTGCGCCGTCATCTCGAGTTCCAGATCGATGATCGCCTCACGCGCAGGATCGATTCGGGTCTAGCGTTACTGGAAAACGGGCGAGGCGGCGTGACCTGCTGTCAGACCAACAATGAGACAAGCAAGAGTCATGCGGAATTAAATGTCACACGCTGGTTATAATACGCATATGAATCACTGGAATCACGTCAGTACTTTCTCGCTTCGTATGGATCCGAGCTATCTCAGCCATGCTCGCTCCTCAAGTAGAGGAGTACTGTCTTGCTTTAACTGTGACAAACCGAGGAATGAGAGGCAGCGCGTATTTACTGATGCGGTTCAAGTCGGAACTGCGCAGGGGTCACCTCCACCTCCTTAACTTGTTCTTTCCACTTCATCTGCTATCAAACACCACAGCTGTTCCGTGCAGCTCGGAGGAGGAAGCAACTTACGGGGTAAGAGCGCTGGGAAGAAATGGTGCTTTATTTTTAGAAACCGTGGAAAGTTGCAACCCGCAATTAGGAGCTCCTGTTTTGAAGAAAGGTAACAATGTCTCGGGTTATAGTGCTTCAAAGGTTCATCCAATCGAGTTGAAACGCTTTCATTTGTAAAACATGTGTTGGTGACCTACGAGGTGTGTTAGAAAAATGTAAATAATGGCATTTAGGGTTCAACCCCTTCTCCGTTAGGCCTTCATGCACTCCTGGAAGGATTCTTCCAGGATTCTCCGCAACGCCGTCGAAAGGAGAATGAAATGATGTTCTTCTTGGCCAGGAACTGTCAGATGCTCAAGGCCTTCCAGTGCGTTGTCACCATGGCAACGCATTGAGTTGTCCTGCCACAACTCTCATTCCTTAAAGTGATAAACTCTTTTTTGCAACAAGTGGCCGTACGCAGAAAAAAAAATTATCTGAAGAATTGATGATTTATACCCCACGAGCTGGTTAAAAATGTACTATATGAGCTTTGTAAATGACAGCGAGACAGGGTACTGTGGCCTATACCTTACTTGCGCCAACACATTTTTTCCCCCCCGACTATAAAAATGTGTTATCCGTTATCCAACTCTTTCAAAAAAAAAAAAAACACCCTTTTGTGGAATTGCGACTCATCCGACGTCAGGGGCGTTTGTATTTCGAGGTTCCACTCTACTCGTTGCGCATCCAGCAGCCCGAGTTGCCTTTCTTACAGATTACGTCCGGCCTGTTGTAGTCCCCTGGCGGCTTGTTATCTTATTTGACCGAGTCTTTTGGGACCTCGCGTATCAACAATCTATTGCACGGCTACCGTGTACCGTTCACAGCTTTTCTCTTCTTCGATATGTTTGCTATGGCTTCTGTGCACGCCAACCCCGAGAAGGATCATCTTTTCCAAGGTGAGCAAAAGCTTGGTTACATAACTGTTGTTGGATGGAGCCTCGCCGTCATCTTATATGCAGGATCTTAATTAAAAGGGTCTTTCATGTGTCTGGAAGCATTCAGGAGTGCTTTCACGGGCTCTCTTCTGCTGAATGCTCATTGATGGCCGCACAAGATCCAAATGAAGACGGACCGACCTGCTTTAAAGATGTCATACCGGGTAGCGAGAAGACGGCGATTGAATGCGTTTCGCGATTTTAGGCCTCAGAGCGGTGCGCCGTCATCTCGAGTTCCAGATCGATGATCGCCTCACGCGCAGGATCGATTCGGGTCTAGCGTTACTGGAAAACGGGCGAGGCGGCGTGACCTGCTGTCAGACCAACAATGAGACAAGCAAGAGTCATGCGGAATTAAATGTCACACGCTGGTTATAATACGCATATGAATCACTGGAATCACGTCAGTACTTTCTCGCTTCGTATGGATCCGAGCTATCTCAGCCATGCTCGCTCCTCAAGTATAGGAGTACTGTCTTGCTTTAACTGTGACAACCCGAGGAATGAGAGGCAGCGCGCATTTACTGATGCGGTTCAAGTCGGAACTGCGCAGGGGTCACCTCCACCTCCTTAACTTGTTCTTTCCACTTCATCTGCTATCAAACACCACAGCTGTTCCGTGCAGCTCGGAGGAGGAAGCAACTTACGGGGTAAGAGCGCTGGGAAGAAATGGTGCTTTATTTTTAGAAACCGTGGAAAGTTGCAACCCGCAATTAGGAGCTCCTGTTTTGAAGAAAGGTAACAATGTCTCGGGTTATAGTGCTTCAAAGGTTCATCCAATCGAGTTGAAACGCTTTCATTTGTAAAACATGTGTTGGTGACCTACGAGGTGTGTTAGAAAAATGTAAATAATGGCATTTAGGGTTCAACCCCTTCTCCGTTAGGCCTTCATGCACTCCTGGAAGGATTCTTCCAGGATTCTCCGCAACGCCGTCGAAAGGAGAATGAAATGATGTTCTTCTTGGCCAGGAACTGTCAGATGCTCAAGGCCTTCCAGTGCGTTGTCACCATGGCAACGCATTGAGTTGTCCTGCCACAACTCTCATTCCTTAAAGTGATAAACTCTTTTTTGCAACAAGTGGCCGTACGCAGAAAAAAAAAATTATCTGAAGAATTGATGATTTATACCCCACGAGCTGGTTAAAAATGTACTATATGAGCTTTGTAAATGACAGCGAGACAGGGTACTGTGGCCTATACCTTACTTGCGCCAAACATTTTTTCCCCCCCGACTATAAAAATGTGTTA